TTACATGCCACTGCGAGGAAAAGGAAACGTTAAACTACCAGAACCCTTCAATGGAGACCGGGACAAGCTCGACACATCTGTACAAGCCCTACTTCTGCTATTTGACGCACGACCCATCGACTTCCCAGACAACCAAACTATGATCACTACTGCCTTATCCTACATAGAAGGAGGCACAGCAGCGATCTGGAAGACAGCCATCCTACGTCAAGCCTGGGAAATTGACACAGCAGGACATAGACAGGGCTATGGAACGTGGAGAAATTTCCTTGCAGCTCTACTTGCTACCTTCACGCCTATCAATGAGGAGATGCATGCTGCCAACAGGCTGCGTACTCTGACATCAAAGGATTACGAGTCTATCGACGCCTTCAATGGAACCTTTATGGACCTAATCACGAAGGCGCTCATCACGGAACCACGCGCCCAACTAGCATGGTACCGACAATCCCTCGATGCTCCAGTACGCAACAAGATCCTGGACATGGCCACGGTACCTGCAGACCTCAACACATGGATGGTGCGAGCCATCAATGTCGACAGGAACTGGAAGATGAAGAAGACATGGACAAGATCCTTGGGATCAAACCAAGGTTCAAGACAAAGGTGGTTAAAGCCACAACCACAGAAAGATCAAACGGAGAAGTCAACCGACTCTCTGCGGAAGAAGAACAAGACCTACGAAGCAAGGGACTATGCTTCTACTGCAAGAAAGGAAAGCACCTAGCATGATTCTGCCCAGCCAAGAAGAAAGAAAACCGGCACAGCAGAAGATTCGCACCATGAGGGAGGACCAAGAAGATGACCCTCCCAACGATTCCGAAGCCGAAGTCAACGCTACTGTAATCGACGAAACAGAGGATTTTTAGAGCGGCAGGACGAGGCGACGCCGGATCTGCCTAATACAACCACCATTCATGTAACCCTTGTATCAAATACCGAACGGCGAAGACACGCCTTATTACTCAACGGTTACATTGAAGTGGGAAAAATCACCGTCAAAATCAAAGGCCTCCTCAACTCAGGAGCCGACACAGTAATTATCAACAAACGAATAGTGGACAAATACAAACTCCCAACGGTGTTACTACCAGTACCTGTCCAGTTCAAAAACGCGGACGATACAATCAACAGCCGGAAACATCACTCACCGCGTAGAAGGAAACTTCATCCTCAACGGCAACAAGCTACCACCAACTGGTATGTGGCCAATATCGGACGTGAGATGTAATTTTGGAATGCCCTGGATTCGAAACTACAACCCATCATCAACTGGGAAACCGGGAAGGTGACCATCAAACAAGATAGGATCAAGAAACAACAGTCACTGCAAAAAACCGACAACGATCACACCCCCGAAGGAACCCTGTGGGGGTACCCACTCAAAGCAGACGATCAAGAATTATTTGCATACTTAGAAACGGACATAGATGACGATAAACCAACACACAACCCCTCCAAGGTCCTGACAGAATGGTTTGAAACCAGTAAGATCCGACGAGCCACAAAATCAGCGGAAATTGCCATTGAAGCAAATAAACTGAAACCCGAAGTACCGTTGGACGAAATCCTACCGAACTTCGTGAAAGAATATCGCAAGATATTCGAGAAGAAGGCCGCAGAACGGTTTCCGGAATCCAAACCATGGGACCATGCAATCGATCTAAAGCCAGGCTTTGATTTCCACAAGGACAAGAGATGGAATAAGATCTATCCCCTCACTCTCACGGAACAAGCTGAACTAGAAAAATTCATTGAAGAAAACATGAGGAAGGGATATATCAAGGAATCAAAGTCACCATTTGCATCACCATTCTTCTACATCCAAAAAAGGATGGAACACTCCGACCAGTCCAAGACTACAGGGCCCTCAACGAAGGAACAATCCGAAATGCGTACCCACTCCCACTAATCAGCGACCTGATGGACAAGCTCAAGGGAGCCAAGTACTTTACAAAATTGGACGTAAGAGCGGGATACAACAATATTCGAATCAAGAAAGGAGACGAATGGAAGGCCGCATTTATAACCCCCAAGGGACTATACGAACCCACAGTAATGTTCTTTGGACTGTGCAACGCCCCAGCAACCTTTCAGAGCATGATGAATCAAAACTTCGAGGACCTCATTCGCGAAGGATGGATGGTTATCTACATCGACGATATTCTAATCTTCTCCAACGACTTAGAAGAACACCACAGAAGAACGCTAAGAGTTCTCAAAAGAATTCAAGAACTAGACTTCTACCTACCAACCTCCGCCTCCCATACCCGCACTGGAAACTGGCACCTAAACGAGAAGGACCCTTTATTATCACAGAGGTCATGGGACCTGTAACGTTCAAATTAAACCTACCACGCACTTGGAAGATTCATCCAGTCTTCCATGCCGCGCTCCTGACTCCATATCGAGTCACCAAAGCACATGGCCCCGACATGCCACGTCCACCTCCTGACGTCATAGACGGCGAAGAAGAGCATGAAGTGGAAGCTATTCTTAACCACCGAATGAGGGACGCAAACGAGACAAATTGGAATACCTGGTGACGTGGAAGGGCTGGGAGTCAGCAGAAAACTCATGGGAACCCGAGCGCCATTTGAAGAACGCGCCCGATATTCTGAGGGTATATAAGAAGAGACATAAGCTCCTCTGACCCTCATCACACTCCCGACTCGAATGCGCTTCTCCAGATGCCTCGCCACCACCGCTCTACTCCTCGTTGCGCTCCCCGCCTCTATCCCATCCGCCTCACTATGCCGGACATCCACGACACCCCCGATTTCATCAACAATCGCCCCCAAGTCAACTACGACCACCTTCCAACTCTCTATCGCACTAACGAGAGTGCGGGACCCTCGGAGACCGCATCAGGTGGACCGTCGCGCACTCCGAACTCCACGGCCACATCCGCTACCGCACCCAACACATCCCCCACACCGAGCCCTCGTCAACGAATACCGCATCGCGACAGAGGCATTCGACGTCTGGAAGAAGGTCGACAACTTTGTGCAACGCGCCGGAGCCCCTGCCAGCCAGAAGGCCGTCGCCAAGGACGCCTCGCTGACCCTTCGGGCCCTGCTCGTGCGAGCTGCTGACGTAGCCCTCGACCAGCTCACCAGTATCGAGGTCGCCCCGCCCTGGACGACCTGCTCCCCACCGGCCAGCAACACCTTCCCCCCTGGGGGAATATCCCATCCGACATTGTAGAGTGGGGGTCCCCCAGCGAACCCGCTCTGGAAGAACAAGAGCGCAACCAGGCCGCCTGGAACGCCCTCACTCCGGTGAACACAGGCACCACGGACGACCTGCCGCCTCTCCAACCGATACTCGACCTCCCTGCCGCCATAACGCGCGCCCAAGACACCTCCACCCCGCAGCCTCCTCCCTACACGCAAGAAGACAACTCCGACAAGGAGAACGAACCCCCTGTGCCCACCACCGACCTCCTCGCTGCCCAATCCCTCCTCATGGTCCACCGCAACTGGGTCCGAGCGCAGACCGCGAACGCGGAACCGGGAGTCCAATTCGGAGTCCTCAACCTCCCCCCCAGAACCCTCGCAGGCTCCTCACGCCTAACCCTCACCAGACCTGACGAATCCCCGCACCCACGCCACCACAACGCCCTAGACGACATCTTCGCCAAGCTCGAGGCGGAGATCATCGACTACCACGACGACGAACTGGTCCTCGTCCATCCCCCTCCCCGCACGCCTCGGTGGCGCGTCCAAGCGGGATCAGGCCGGTACGTTATCACCACCCATGTCGGAGTCGACCACTACCTCGGAGCGCGACTGGACTCCTGGCCAGAGTTGTTCACCCCTGCGCGCCTCTATGAGTACCTGGAGATCAGGTTCCCCCAGGTCCACGCAAAGATTCGACGGGACCTCCACCTCCTTGTCGCCGAAGCCATCGCCCAACACATCGATGCCGCGTGCGACGAGGTCATTGAGAACCGCATCATCGACACCCAACCGTGGAACGTCTACCACGAGAAATTCGACCAGCCGATCATCACCATCCTCCAGAACTACAAGGGTGCTCACCTCCCCCTCCAGGAGTACGTCGATCGGGTATCGATCCAGATCGCTTCGGACCTCACAGCCGTCGGCATCGGTCATGCCCCTGTCGCGGACGCGACCGCATCGACCCTGGCGTAGAAGGTCGGGACGACCCTCCCCGGGAGAGGGAGCTGATGTTACGATAATGAACGCTAGTACGTCGCCCCCCCATTTAATTTCCATCCATAACCCCCGCTCCCCCGATATGTAGACCCATTAAATACGTATGCTGTACTCTCTGACTCATACATACTCATCGCCACTCATCGTGTACTCGTCCTGACTCCTCCTGTGGTACCTAGTCATGATGTGTCACTACGACTAGGACTGTGTCATGCAGACTGGCGATAACTCGTAGATAATGTGACTCCCCACTCTCGCCCCTGTATATAAGGACAACGCCCTAGAGCACTCCCTCCCCAGACTTGAATCTCCTCTGTATACTACGTCTACCTCAGCTACGCGCAATCTTACCCTCTTGTCGCTCGCACTCGCTCGATAGCACGCAAGCGCCAGAGCATCGCCACCATAACCACAGAGCGCCTAGGCTGAATTCCATCCGGAATAAGTCTTGAACGTAACATTATCCTTGGCTGGGACTGCAAATTTGCCCACAAGGTTCGGGACTGGAAAATTGCTAGGCATGCTCTAGGCCAAGATCTCAGCCCTGAGAATGGTCCCAATGTCCAGTGCCCTGAGTGGTTCTCTGGGGGCCGAGTTGCCTTGGTTTTCTTCTCTCATGCCATCACAGTGACTAGGCTGGAGGACAAGCCAGAGGGGTTTTTTGCTAAATACCCCAAGCACCATGAGCTGAAGGCCCAGGATAAGCATAGGAATACTATACTGGATCCTTGAGAGTTGTGTGAGTGTGGGTGGTCAGAGTGTGAATGAGAGAATGAGGAAAGGTTGAAGTTGTAGCCTGTTTGGAGGGCTGAGGGGAGACTAGCCACCAGACTCAAGGGCAAGGGCAAGGGCAAGGGCAAGGGCAAGGGCAAGGGGAAAGAATGAGTTGTATTTGTAATGTATCTAACATACAGAGTAACTAAAATATGCGGGAGTCTCCATACTTAAAAACAGTGCAAATGGACAGGAAACATGCCCTGCCTCATCTTGTGCATAGTCAGGGCGTGAAGGCGTGCTACAGGAGGTGGAATAGGGCATCTTGCAGAAGGAAAGGGGCTGGGGACGTACTGGGAAAGGACTGGTGCCAGGGACTTGAACCACAGTACCAGAATTCAAATTAAGGGGTTTAGGGCGTCCTTTGGGATGCCTTGGGCATGTTGAGATTGTCGAGGGGGCAGTTGGGCAGCAGTTGGGCGAGGTCAAGGTGGCAAGGAGGAGGACACACGACAAGAAATGCCGGATATTTGGTGCCCGAACAGGACCTGGGAAACGATACTGGCATGGTACCTGTCACGGTCACGTTCTTTGTCTGGTCTGCGCTGGACCAGACAAAGAACAGGAATCCTGTTGGGGGCATGTTGGGGGCATGGTCTGCGCCCGCGCAAGCAGCCTGGTCTGCAGCAGACCAGGGTGTGGGCTGGATTCATGGCCGTAGTAGCCTGGTCGGCCACAGAGTTGGTTTCATGTTCGGCCCCGAAACTTCCCACATAGTCAGCACACAGAATGCATGTCTGATGATGAAAATATATTTATTGGTACACTACTAGTACATGACGGCAAGAGTCTGAACATGAAACCAACTCTGTGGCCGACCAGGCTACTACGGCCATGAATCCAGCCCACACCCTGGTCTGCTGCAGACCAGGCTGCTTGCGCGGGCGCAGACCATGCCCCCAACATGCCCCCAACAGGATTCCTGTTCTTTGTCTGGTCCAGCGCAGACCAGACAAAGAACGTGACCGTGACAGGTACCATGCCAGTATCGTGTCCCAGGTCCTGTTCGGGCACCAAATATCCGGCATTTTTTGTTGTGACAAGTGCAGGTAGCACTCTTGCACGGACGGCCGTAAGGCTGCCCATTTTGAGCGTGGGACGTGCAAGGATGGATGAGAGACATACCCCGCCACGTCTTGTACACGGTTGGGGTGTGTGGGTGCACTGTGGGAGGATGGGCAGGGCAGGGCACAGAAGTGATGGGGCCCTTAAAGACTTGAGCTGGACAGGAAAACTTCACACGAGCAAAGCACAATATGTGTATAGTAAAAGTCCAGATTTCAGAAATGTCTAAGATGAAGGCAAATGTGGTCAGTCACTCTCTCCCCATGCCTAAAATATATTCTGTACTGCCTCCACCTAGAGATGAGCTTGATGAAGTGCTTGTGCCCACAGCAAAGGAATACAAATGCACACCTATGCTTGTTAGACAAAAGAAAGTCAGTGCTGCACTTGAGTGGCTTAAGCTCAACCATTCTGACTATGCAGATCTGACCATTTTGTACAAAAATCTGGCAGAGTATCCTGAAGATGAGCCTCCAGTGATTGTGAACTATACTCAGACTAAGAGTATGTCTAATATTGATCCAGAGGCAGCTGCAGTGACTGGAATAGAGGAAGAAGAGGGTGTAGATGATGGAAAGTGCCCATTTGTAGTGCATGGATTGACTGGTGAGCGTCTTGAACATCTGGGGAAGATCAGACCATATGAAATCAAGGCAAGAGCTGTAGAACACTTCAAATCTGGTGGAAAGGTGCTTGGAATTGGTCAGGAAAAAAATCCAGAGAGCATCTATAACAATCCTCAGCTCTATCCACAAATGTTTCCGTTGCTGTTTCCGTATGGCTATGGTGGGCTGAAAAATGTGAAAGGTGCTATTTGTGTATCTGAAGAGAAGCGGAAGCAGCAGTTGCTGATGTACCATGATAAACACTTCCAACTTGAGCCATTGTTTCCCTTGGTTGCTTTGAACCATGAGCAAATCAAGCAGTCTACCAGTGCAGGCTATCTTCTTGCTGATAAGAAGCGTTTTGATGAGATTGCACACAGACTGCTGAATATCAGCACAGAAACTGTGACTGAGCTTGCAAATAGGCTGTCTAAGGGAAGTTTTAAACCAGAGACTGAGAAGGAAAAGGCCTGTGAACTACAAGGTGAAAGGATCTATTACTAGTAAGAAGTATATGTGCAATGAGATCTGGGCAATGGTATCTTATCTAGGTGCACCCTCCTGGTTCATCACATTTGCTCCCACAGATGTCAAACACCCTCTGGCACGGGATTTTGCAGACACTGATCAGAAATATATGCCAGAGTTCAGACCAAGAGATCAACGTCTCAATCTGATTGCAGACAACCCAGTTGCAGGTGCCTGCTTCTTCAATGTCATGGTTGACCTGTTCCTGAAACACGTTCTTGGTGTGGGCACTAGTAAACCCGGTTTATATGGTGACACAGCTGGGTACTACGGAACTGTTGAACAGCAGGGCCGTTTGACTCTGCACTTGCATATGCTGCTGTGGATTAAATGTGCACTCACTCCACAAGAGATTAGAGATCGCATTTTAGACCCCACCTCAGACTTTCAGCAGGCTATGGTGCAGTATCTAGAGGGCTGCTACAAGGGCGAGTTTTTGAATAGTACTCTGGAGACTGTAGACAAGCGTGTGACAGAGATTGCCTAGGCAAATCCTACTCGAGTGCCACTCATAGAGACACTACCAGAAGTTCCACCTCCCAGTTGCTCAGGGAAACATGAAACAGACTCAAAATGCACCACATGCAAGGCTCAAAAAGATTGGTGGATCAAATACGAGGCAGAGGTGGATGAAATATTATATTTCTCCAATGTGCGCAAATGTAGAGACAGAATCACTGGGAAAAAGAAAGCAAACTAGAACCAGCTATCAGAAAATGAGCCACCTAAGCCAGCTTCAACTGAGAAGTCAGAGTTTGATAACCGAGGCTGCCGTGACCCAGTAACCAAAGTGTGCAAGGCCTGCTTCCCTCGAGAGACACATGAGGCTACTGGAGTTGATCCCGAGTCTGGTGCACCAGTCATGAAAAAGGGTGAGCCCATGTTGAACACATTTACACCTGCTCTATCATATGTTTTAAGGTGCAACCATGATGTTACCAGCTTGCTCTCAGGCACTGCCATCAAGTCTGTGATTGCATATGTGGCTGATTATATCACAAAAACACCTCTTAAAACGCATGTGATGTTCCGCTCTGTTGAAGAGGTGTTCTCACATAATACCGAGCTTCTAGGCAGCCAGAAAACCAATCGAGAAAAGGCCCGTGGAATGATCACTAAGATTGTGAATGCACTCACTGCTGCTTCAGAAATTGGGGGACCTATGGCTGCAATGTATTTGTTGAAGCATCCAGACCACTATACAAACCACAGGTTCAGAAGAGGTGATGAAGGCCTGAGAAGACTCTGATGCTATTGACCGTGAGGGAAAGTCAAAAGTGATGCTAGGCATGAAGAAATCTGCCTTGAAGTCAGAAATTGTAGCAGTTTCTCCTGTGTTGGACTATGTTTGGCGACCTGAAGAGTATGAGTCTGTGTGCTTGTACGACTGGATTAGGCTGTCAGATAAGAAGCGTCTTCCACGGCCTAAGAAGAAACACAGCCAGGTTGAGGATGACATAGATCCTAGCCAGTACTTTACTGACAATGATCGTGAGTTTGAGGATGATTATAATGTAGACCCAGGATTAAAAGAAGAAGAATCAGAGTCAGACAGTGAGGAAGAGAAGCCAGCTCAGATTGGAGGCCACACAGCTATAGCAAAAGAGGAGGAAGAGTCTGGATCTGAAGATGAGCTAGCAGGGCCAAGCAAAAAAGAGGAGGAGGAGGAGGAGTCTGATGATGAGCTGCTGCTCACCACTAAATCAAATATGAAACTGGAGAAGGAAATCCAGGCTACTATCCCACAAAAGCACTTCAAGTTCCATGCAAACCACCCCTACCATTCTACCCATCATGCTAGACTGATGCCTGAGAATGAAGCTTTTGTTTCCAACTTTGTAGGTGGGTCTCTTCCCCGAAAAGATTCTGGTAGCCGTGAGCAGTATTGCATGACCATGCTTACTTTGTTTAAGCCATGGCAAACCGGAAAGGACCTCTGCCTGTCCATTGCTACTCTGTGGGATCAATCATTTGAGGCACACAAGTTCACTGAGTGAGATGAACAGACTATGAAGTATTTTCACATCAGGTACGAATGTAACGATGCTCGGGATGACTTTTCTGCTCAGCGGAAGATGCTAGAGAAGAGTGCTAAGCTCTCAGGAATGTACAGCCCAGCAGACTTGGATGAGATGGACACTAGATACTATATTGACATGGATAACCTGCCAATCCAGTCTACAGAGGCTGAATACCTTGCATATGGCGATGTAGATTATAAGAAAAGCATCTGGGAAGCACGAGACAGAAAGTTTGCAGAGGCAGAAGAGATGCTGCAGTCATCAGAGTGGGCACTGCCAAGCCAAATAAGTTCTGAAAATAAACCTTCAACACAGCAACTCAAGTTCAATGAAGATACTTCTGGGCCAGAGTGGAAAAAGCTACTTACAGACAGACATCAGGCATTGATTGAAGCCAGGGACACACAGGCTTATCAACACAAAAAAGTAGTTGCTGCTGTCCGGCCACCCCCTAACCATGAAGTCAATGAAGTGAAGGTAGTTGGGAAAAAGTATTTCTTGAACAAGAAGTTCCAGGCAGACAATGAAATGACGCAGCAGCTCATTGATGGCTCTGTCACAGAGTTCAGTTTGAATCAGAATCAAGAGGGTGCATTCAGAATTGTTGCTAACCACACAGTCGAACCCAGTGGAGAGCATCTCAAAATGTATCTGGGTGGAATGGCTGGCACAGGAAAGTCCCAAGTAATCAAAGCACTCATTCACTTCTTTGGGAAGTGTGAGGAGGGCTACAGATTCATGTGTATTGCACCTACTGGGGCTGCAGCTGCTCTAATTGGTGGATCTACATATCATTCAATTCTGGGCATAGTTTGAGGAATCCACACACACTCTCATACCCAGCAACAAATGTCCATTGGGAAAGCATTGTGGCACCAATTCACTACCACAGTAATATTGAGGGAAAATATGCGCCAGAAGTCACAGAGCCCAGAGGATGCAAAGCTTCGTGTTGCCTTGGAAAATCTCAGGTACTATGCCTGCACACAATCTGATTATAAGCTATTGCAGTCTAGAGTTGCTAGCTGTGCACCAGGCAGACCCTCTCTCAATGATCCAAACTTCAAGTATATCTCTATTATCACCCAATATAATGCTGTGAGGGATGGTATTAATGAAAAGTCTGTGGCTCAGTTTGCAAAGGATTATGGGCAGGAACTAGTCAACTTTTATTCTATGGACAGACTAGGATATAATATGAGTGAAGACATGCCAAAGCATACCCGGAAAAAGGCAACTAATCCCCTTAGGAAAACAACATTGCCTCTACTGAACTCCGGGATCTCTTGTGGAGTTTGGATCCAAAAATGACTGCACATATGCCAGGAAAGCTGTCATTGTGTATTGGAATGCCAGTGATGATTAATAACAATGAGGCCACAGAGTGCAGAGTAACCAATGGTGCTGAAGCAGAGATTGTAGGCTGGAAAGCCAAAGACATTGATGAAGACAAGCAAGCACTGATAGCGCTCTTTGTCAAGCTCAGCTGTCCCCCAAAACCTATTCAGCTACCTGGACTGCCTGTGAATGTAATCCCTATCACTCCAAATGAGCGAAAGATAGTCTGTGCTATGCCAAACGGGAAAACACTTGGGATCTATCTCTCTCAGGTCTCTATTCTAGCCAACTTTGTTAAATCCTGGGCTTCTGGCGACTTCTGGAGATCCCCACACACTCTAGAGGCTGTGGTGAGAAGCTGTATCGAATAGGGGACCAGGGATATACAAAGACGAACCTAGAGGCTGTGGTGAGAAGCTAAGGAAAGAGCCCACCCAGCCTCTGGTGAAAAATGTATAGCAAACCCTAGTCTAGGAGCAGGGATCTGTGTAGAGCAGCTGCCTAAAGTGGCTGCTGCAGTGCCACAACG